TTGAAATTCTGTCCACGACGGAAATCAGTGGGCTCATAACGCTACACATCGGGTTTCAATACCTGCGGTGGAGAGAGCACAGAAAACCCACTGGCTAGACTTTTGTATCCAACAGACAATGTCTGTAGTTTTAACATACATGTATTGCTAATTGTTGTATATTTATGTCTGTTTGTAAAACCTAAGATATCATCATTTATAAAAAATAGCACGTGGAGCGGTCAGGTTTGATACTCATTTTTTGACCAGCAGTCTCATGCTGCACAAATCTACTTGAGTAGTTTGAGAATAGGACCGATTCGACAAAAAACAACAACAAAAAAAAACAGTAAACAACCGAAACGGCGTTACAGTTCATTCCGCCTCAACTCAAGCACTGGATATCTTACTTTCTACACTTAGTTTAATTTTAACTGATGGTTGGAATTAATACATGTTTTTCTTAGTATATAATTATAAAGATAATAGCTTGATGATAAAAATAATCAAACTAGAGGGTGATGTGTCCAATATGTTTTAAAATTTCTTATTGAAACCTGCAAATAGTATAAGTTTGACATTAATATACGATGCCACTGCCGTGGGTCCCTGTGTGGAAAATGGCATATTTTTTGTATTGTTTGAATACTTTTGAGCTATCTAATTATCTATACTATTATTCTGCTTGTTTGTATGTACGACCGTTACGCTTTCTGACCGAGAACATGTTGCATAAGCATGTGTAGTTGGAATGCTTCCCAAGAAAAACCGCGCGTGCGCATTATTCACTTGACAACAAACAGTCTGCCTGCAGCAGAGTGCTGCAAAGCTCAGTGATCAAGTCGCTACAATTGCTGTATGAAATAAGAAGTAACAACAAAAGGGGAATGTAAATATACTTTACTAACCATTTTGTACAACAGAATATTAAAACTTATCTGATGGGTCACCCACTATTCAGAGGTTATGAAGAATTCAAGCTAATTTCAATATTGCACCGAAATGAAGGGTTTATTTTGAAATAATTTAATTAAATATTTCAATCCATTCGTGTTATTCATAATTCAAGAAAAGATATTTGATTGTTGATCGGGAATAAATGGAAAGACCATTTCATTTTTCAAAAAAATTAAGTCAGAGATTTTAGGTATTGTGATGAATTACTTCATTATGTTGTAGTCTTTCCTCTACAAATAAGAAACAGTAACACTATTTATTCTTCGAATTTTGTTTTTTCTTTTCTTCTGATTTGCATATTTCGTTCAGGCTCCATCGACTGTTAGCATCATCTAGAAATGTCACTTCCAGAATAAATTGAACTCCAATTTATGTAAAACTAACAGGATAACAGTTCTACAAAGAATGCAAAAGAAGAGTTATTATATGAAGTAATGATACTTTACGTCTAATTTGCAAAAGTTAGCAGTCTCACCATGAAAAAGATATACACGACAATGGAGCAGATTTTATTCATCGATTCAACATCAGCAGAGAGGTCACGTCGTTGAAGTCTCCTTGCTTTACTTCTAATGATTTTTTGGTGGAGGCGTTCAGCATCTGATTCTAGAATTCTTCTGTTGTTGGTCATATCTCTCTGTGATCATTGAGACGTTCAGCTTTTTCCTCCTCCATCTCGTTGTTTCTTCTATCGATATGCCTTTCCTGACCTTGTTGTTGGCGTTCCGTCCTTTCCTCATCAGTTTCTCCGGCTCTCCTTAACCGCGCTCTCTTTCTCGTCGAGGTATGATCTACACAGAAAATGCATGCATTAAATTAGATTGCAAATATATTATCGGTGAAGGAAATCATGTTATCAACTCAACTAATCAAGGGCGCCTTTCGTTACGAAAAGATTGACAAACCTTATTCACAGTTGTGGTACGTATCTGCTTGTTTGTTATCTGCCCTCTTCGTTAGTATATAAGCCTGGCAGTGAAAGCCAGAAAGGATAAATGAAGAGAGAGCAGTAGTTATTTTGAGTTCCATGTAATTTATGATTCGGTTAGTTTCGAGCTAGTGGGCCGTAAAGTGTGTGTTTTGCACTCGTCGAGAGCCAAGTTATCGAGATTGTGAATCGCTGTGATTTATAGCGTTTATTATAAAAGCTGTTAGATTTAAAGTGACAAGAAACGTATTGATTCTGGAACTTCTGTGTACTAAAAGTTTATGTCGAGGAAGAATAAACTGGTTTAATCAAGAAAAGACTTGTATCGCTGAAGATCCTCGGGAAAAAATTTCTACCGGAAACAAACAATCAAGCAGATACGTAACAATACGTATTTGACCAGAAATGTTTTGCGGGTCTCTGCTAGTTTTATATTCATAGTTCACTATGAAACGATGACATTTGATGAACTTATTACAGAGACACCTTTAGAAGACAACCTAGTACAGGGGTGTAGTGAGACACCTTTAGAAGACAACCTAGTACAGGGGTGTAGTGAGACACCTTTAGAAGACAACCTAGTACAGATGTGTAGAGAGACACCTTTAGATGACAACTTAGTACAGATGTGTAGAGAGACATCTTTAGAAGACAACCTGGTACAGATGTGTAGAGAGACACCCTTAGAAGACAACCTGGTACAGATGTATAGAGAGACACACGTAGATAATAATTTAGTACAGATGTGTAGTTAGACACCTTTAGATGACAACCTGGTACAGGGATGTAGTGAGACACCTTTAGATAATAATCTGGTACAGATGTGTAGTTCGACACCTTTAGATGACAACATGGTAATGGGGTGTAGTGAGACACCTTTAGATGACAACCTGGTACAGATGTGTAGTTCGACACCTTTAGATGACAACATGGTACGGGAGTGTAGTGAGACGCTGTTCAATTAGAGTAGTCAACGGGTTGTCGGCGGGTGGAGTTTATTAGCTGCTTTGCCTCAAATTGGGACTGGCACAAATAACCCTCGACAAACAACGCATCCAGTTAGAATTTAGTGTAGCTATTAATTAAACAGTAAAAAGTTAATAAATATTCTGGCCTAATAGTGTGTACTCTATTCTAATTTTTAAGCTGAATTTATAATGTAGTACAATCCGACTACATTAACCTATCGAACCATTCTAATCATGCTATAAACACACAATGTAAGATATTTAAAACTGCTTCGATGTAGATTCTCTTATCAATGATAAGAATATTAATATTTTCCTATAAGTAATACACAATACCAGGTACAATCTGAAATAATAATTTGAACCACTATTTCGGAACATTAGGTTGATTGGTATACAATTTTGAACACTTTAATCTATCCTCTTCTGTCCAATGATTGGTTATTGAGAGAAACACACACATTATTCATTTTATAATGGAAGTTCCACATGGCATCAGAGAGGGGTTCAGATTAAATTGACCTACGTTGGTGTTTGAAGTGTGTCAACTTCTGGATTAACGAACCTTCCACATTTCTTTTGACATAATCTCTAGTTTTATATTGGCTGTCTTCCAGTTGATTTTATGATCAAGATCCCTCGTTCATAAAAAGTAACATTAATTATTTGACCATTTGCAGCATATTTTTAATGTTCCACAGTCTTGTTAAGCTCAACCAATCAAACACTAGTGTATCCATCCACTAGATCAGAAGTTCACTTCCTGTAGCTGTTCTGCCTGGTGATGCCAGGTTAACCTGATGAAACATTGTAACCATAGATAGTGTATTCTGTATCCATCCACTAGATCAGAAGCTTACTTCCTGTAGCTGTTGTACTTGATGATGCCACGTTAACCTCATGAAACGTTGTAACCAAAGATACTGTTACGTCTCTGGTCGTTAGTTAATTTCCCGTATGATTTCTTTCCGATGAAACTTTAGCGACACAAGTCCTTTCTTAAATAAAACTAGTTTATTCTTTCTCAATACAACTTTGAAATTCACTTTATTTCCACAGTCACGCTATAACTTAAACAAACGCTATAATTCACAACGAACGACACACACGCTCGACCCAACTGTCAGTCTCTATCTCTGTCTGCAATTCAACTCCATTCCATTGTTGCCGTAACTTCTTACATACATGAATACTGCATATCTATTAAACACTCGAGCATTCACGAACCTTCGAAAATATGACGTGTTACTAGCGGCACGTGACCTCCACTGTCGTAACAATACTATACTCTGTATCCATCCACTATAGTTCACTTCCTGTTGCTGTTCTACTTGATGATGGCAGATTTACCTTATGAAACGTTGTAACTATAGGTACCATACCCTGTATTTCTGACAATAAACAAGTTTTAAATTGAAAAGTTTATCTACACATTTTACATAAGTAACATACATATACAATAACACAACCAGAAACTGTCGGACAATTTTTGTTGGATTATTTATAATTTCTATTACAAATAATAGAAAATTTACGTAACAGTTCATTCACTTACAATATTCACACACACACGTACATAAACAAAAGAGAGAAGAATAGTCTTATAAATATTATTAAAAAACATGGTGAGAAGATATTTGGAGACATTGACTCTATCATCGTTTTAACCTTAAGTTTTGTTTGTTATGAGAAATCTTCCTACGAGACCGTGCGCATGAAACACATTAAGTATATGTTATGTTATATTTCAAATTTTGTAGTGCATACTGGAGGGATTTACATATTTTAATAAAAGTTTAGAAAAAAACAACTTTTACCTTCCAAATAAATTTAAAAAATATATTTTTATTTCATCCAACGTTTCGCCTTTGTGGTTTCATAAGTGTTAATATACACAAGTGTTTGATATTAGTATATTCATAAAACATATTATGGTTCTTGCTAATTTATATATTTATTTATATTTTATTTAAGTAATCTCTGTTATATGTTAGCATAGCTACATATTATTATAACTATAATATTAATACAATAATGAAACAATAATAATATTATATACATTGTTAGACGCACGTTACAACAAACTCGAGAAGTAAAATATTACAGGCACTACTGTCAAACTACTACTACGACAGTTTTGTATATTAACCCTGATGAAGCTGCAAATGCAAAACGTTGGTTGAAATAAAAATGTATTGTTTTGTATATAAATCTGGAGTTTCAAGATCGTTTTTTCTAAACTTACATTGCCTGAAGAAAGAAAAAAATATTTGTAAGTACACGTACCTTTGTGCAGTACTGAAACAGTATCTGCTACCTTCAAGTCTCATGTATATCATATAAAGTTAAGTATCTGCTACCATCAATATCTCATGTATATCATATAAACTTACGTATCTGCTACCTTCAAGTCTCATGTATATCATATAAACTTAAGTATCTGCTACCATCAATGTTTCATGTATATCTATATAAACTTAGGTATCTGCTGCCATCACTGTTTCATGTATATATATAAACATAAATATCTACTACCATCAATACTTCATGTATATCATATAAACTTAAGAATCTACTACCATCAATGTTTCATGCATATCATATAAACTTAATTATCTGCTACTATCAATGTTTCATGTATATCATATAAACTTAAGCATATGCTACCATCAATGTCTCATGTATATCATATGAACCTAAGTATCTACTACCATCAATACTTCATGTATATCATACAAACTTAAGAATCTGCTACCATCAATGTTTCATGTATATCATATAAACTTAAGTATCTGCTACTATCAATGTTTCATGTATATCTGTATAAACTTAAGCATCTGCTACCATCAATGTTTCATGTATATCATATAAACTTAAGTACCTGCTGCTATCTGCAATGTTTCATGTATATCTACATAAAACTAAGCATCTGCTACTATCAATGCTTCTTGTATCTGCTGCTATCTGCAATGTTTCATGTATATCATATAAACGAACTCAGATTGTATACCAAATGTTACAAGTATTGGTTTTAAGAATAATGTCATCAGTTTACCTGAAATGATGAGGTTTGGTTGGTCAGGTTTTTGTTAAGCAGAAAGCTTTACAATGAGTTAAACTGCTGTGCCCTCCCCGTGTATTGAACCCGATTTTTTTATTTTGGTATCGTAATTCTGCAGACGTATCACTGAACAACTGGGGTGCAAAATACTGAGGACAAAGCACACGTTGATATTAGTGGGAATATGCTGTCCATGTAATTGTATCAAATCTGCTAATAGAATATTAAATTAGAAAAACACGTTTGTTCTTCCAATTAACATAGAACTAATAGAAACAATCATGGACAGAGTTGTTTCATTATAAAATTACTTTTAACTCGTTATTTTGTAATAGAATATCGACATCGAAATACTCAGGAAAGGTGGATTTCAACTGGAGGATATGATACCCAACGTTGATCCTTATTATATGTATGTTTTTCACCATATTTAATCATTAATTAGTCAATAGCAATATTAATTGTAACTTTTGAGATAGTCTTAAACCAGACGTTTAACAAAGAAACTTTTCACATTAAGAAAGTGTAGAAGCAAAACCTATTGTTGGAAAATAACCAATTATAAAAAAATGTATGGATAATGAGACTATGTTGATGAGAAATATTATAGAAATATATAAAGTAATTATATCCAGTAAAACAAGAAACTTTTATGTACTGTTTATTCTGTGATTCAGAAGTTTCTCTTTTTGTTGTTGTTGTTTTTTCACCTTTCACGCTGTTATTAGGGCTGCTATTCTTTACAATAGGTGTCTGTGACCTGTTGGCGATAAATGTCCACAATAAACGGACAGCAAACGATCAACTTGTTTTAAAATATTATATTCAAAACAAGTATGTATAAAAAATCACTTACACTATAGGTTATCACAGTTGTATCCACTATAATTATCTAAATCATAACTCCGGTAATAAATGTAAATGAAACAGTCACATTCGAAGTGCTGAATTTTCTTATTTTAACAAGTTTTTAGATATACAAGAATCTTAAAAAGTTATGTGTCATACCTGAACTTACAAACTTAAAAATAATCCAGCTACAACAACTGCCAATTAAGATTATTGTAGGCTGTGTATTTAATCCAAGCGTTTGCAATGTCGATTGGGAGATATGATACAACGTAATGGACGGGAAAAGTCTGAAACTTTCTGCCAAATTTTCGAATACAATACAAAACGTGAGGTAGGCTACAATAAATGATTGTTGATTATTTAATGCATTAGTAAGTACTTTCTTGTAGAATTATGTGTTGTTTATTTGATTAGTTATGACACGTTTGAAAAGAAGAAAGTCCTGAATATATTGCTTTTGATTATAATATTGTTACGTCTCTGGTCGTTAGTTAATTTTCCATAAAAATTCTATCCGAAGACTTGTCCTTTCTTAAATAAAACTGGTTTATTCTTTCTGAATACAACTTTGCAATACACTTAATTTCTATAGTCGCGCTATAACAAACGCTATAATTCACAACGAACGTCTCACGTGCTCGACTGAACTCTCTGTCTGCAGTTCAATTACACATTGTTGCCGTCACTTCTTACCGGTCTTATATACACAAGAATACTGAATATCTGGTAAATGCTCGAGACTTCACGAACCTTCGAAAATATGACATGTTACTAGAGTCACGTGACCCCCGCTGTCGTAACACTGCCCCTTCCTTAGTATTCTTC